TGATCTTTACTTAATATCCTAATGATTTTTGGCATAAAAGAGAAATGTATAATTGTGACCCATACAATGTATTGTTGGTTATTGCTACAAATATCCCCCAGCGACTCAACACTGCTTCTGTGCTGCAGGGTCAGATATTATCACCAAATCTTACAATTACGCCTAGTCTTTTTCGGTCAATCAGCACAGGTTTTGTGTTTATTTTTAAAGCTGACGCTCACTCAGTTTTGAATGAAAAAAAAAGCATTTGGCTATGTTCACTCAAAAACTGAGGAGCATCAGCTTTAAAAATAAACACAAACCTGACTGACTGAAAACAAGTTGATAAAAAGACTGAATGTAAGATCTGGTGATAATATAGCATAATAAGGGATTCACAATATATATATTAAAAGGCTGGCCATGTTTGGCCGGGTTAGGTAAAGGATTTCCGGCACACAAGGCTTAAAACATCAGTGTAAGGCAGTGAAGATAAACCTGAGAGCATTCATTCTGTGGGACACCTACAGACGTCGAAGGCGTACAGCACGTTGCACGCGCCCTCTGTGTCGTTCCGGCCGCCCCAGATCAACACCGTCTCCTCCACCAGCACCGCCGTGTGTCCGTAGCGCATGTAGGGCACTTCCCGAGCGTGCTCCCTTCCTCCGGTGCGCACCGGTGGTAGCTTCGTCCAGCGCAGAGACACTGAAAGAACCACACACACACTGACTTACACTTACATTCATGCATTCAACGGATGCTTTCATCCAAACCAACTTACACTGCATTCAAATTCCACACATGTTTAGCTCATGCATTGCCTGGGAATAGAACCCATGACTTTGGTGTTGCAAACCCGTGATGTACAGGAAAGCTAACTTATGGCCAGACATGTGCCGGTATTCAGCAATGCGATATATCACGATAATCAAAAGGGTAGGTCTTGATCTCTAACATATCTACGAAATGTATTCTAATAAACTGGAAAAAGGAACACCCTTCAACAATTTAATTATTTAAAAATATCATAAACGACACACTGCATATGGAATATAAAAAAACTGTATATAAAAAACAGAACCCACATCATCTTAGAGACCTGGAATATTTTTTGGACCGGGTATGAACCCTTTGGCTCGTGCCTATATAACTTAATATCCACTGTTTTCACACTGACCATTCATGTGCTATCATTTGATTTCAGTTTTAATTTGTTAATAAAATTTGGATTTGATGATGTATGTTTTCATATTTGTATACTCTGATGCTATGTAATGTAGACATTTTTTTTTTATTGTGTTGACTGTTGTTATATTGTAAACTGATAAATATATTTTAAAAACCTGTTATACTGTATTATGACCACTTTTTTGCAACTACATTTCAATATGATAATACCGTATACTGTGATAAAAGCATTAGCAATTAATCGCAACATGAAAAGTTGATAACGTCATATGCCTAGTTATGGCACATTCAACCTTATAATCCAGAAAACTGATATTAGAAACAGCTGATATTGTTTTTCTTTCATTCATCATCAGTGTATTATTCTGTGCGCCTATCCTCCATAAAGCAGATGATTTTCATCTGAATTTGACTGCTGTGTGGAGCTCGTTTGAATCTGAGCATCAGTTCACCTCACATTTACATGCAGGTTTGCAGTGGTTGGTAGAGGGCAGTTAGCCAAACTAACCCGTGTTGAAGACGTGCACGTCAATCTGTCTCAAGGTCTCGTAGTCTTCTCCGGAGCAGTATCCTCCGAAGGAGTAGACCTTGTGTCCGACCGCCACAGCCGCGTGGTTGACCCTCCGCGGGCCGCCCTCCAGGTGCACCGTCCAGCGTAACATTCCACGCTCGGCCGCGGCTGACCGCTGTGCTAAACCATCACTCCTGCGCAGACATCACAGCTGAGGAGGAGGAGGAGCAGCCGTCAGAGACAAACACTGGCACACAGAGAGAACAACCAATCAGAGAGAACTACTGACACACAGAGAGAGAGAACAACCAATCAGAGGGAACTACTGACACACAGAGAGAGAACAACCAATCAGAGAGAACTACTGACACACAGAGAGAGAGAACGACCAATCAGAGAGAACTACTGACACACAGAGAGGGAACTACTGACACACAGAGAGAGAACAACCAATCAGAGAGAACTACTGACACACAGAGAGAGAACAACCAATCAGAGAGAACTACTGACACACAGAGAGAGAACAACCAATCAGAGAGAACTACTGACACACAGAGAGAGAGAACAACCAATCAGAGGGAACTACTGACACACAGAGAGAGAACAACCAATCAGAGAGAACTACTGACACACAGAGAGAGAGAACGACCAATCAGAGAGAACTACTGACACACAGAGAGGGAACTACTGACACACAGAGAGAGAACAACCAATCAGAGAGAACTACCGACACACAGAGAGAGAACAACCATTCAGAGAGAACTACTGACACACAGAGAGAGAACTACTGACACACAGAGAGTACTGACACACAGAGAGAGA